CTTAGCCAGCTCGTACTTTTTAACTGCACACATTTTAGGTTTTTTGGTATTTAAAAAAATCTATATTTTTTGATCCACAAATCACCAACAGTCCTCATCATTACTATTCATAATCAAGCCACAAAATGACAATAGTCTGGTAAAAGTGATAGCCTTTTGTTAGATTCTTCTTTTAGAAAATATCTAACAGTAATCATGAATGATATACTTCATATGTTATCAATGTGGCACTAAAAATAATCTCACTCCTTTTGAGAAACCTCTGCTGCTTTCTCACACAATAACCCTTAATTAAAAGATAAAAGTTGAAAATATTTGTATCGTGGATCCTGTTGGAGAGCACCTTTCATAAATGTACACAATGTAGGATTTTAGAAATTACTAATCATCACCATAGCTGCTATTAACCACACACATACTTTACTCCAGTTAATTAGCCTTCCATTTGATGAAAAAAAAATCTGATGTTTCAAACTGTGTTCTTCAGTAGGAATTAGTATTGTTTTTCAATAGCAATTAGGAAGGAAAATATTGTCAAGATTCAGTGCACACTTGGCATCATAGAATCATAAAATCATAGAATCAAAGAATTGGAAGAGACCTCATGGGCCATCCAGTCCCCCCTGCCAAGAAGCAGGAACATTGCATTCAAATCACCCCTGACAGATGGCCATCCAGCCTCTGTTTAAAAGCTTCCAAAGAAGGAGCCTCCACCACACTCCAGGGCAGAGAGTTCCACTGCTGAACGGCTCTCACAGTCAGGAAGTTCTTCCTCATGTTCAGATGGAATCTCCTTCTTGTAGTTTGAAGCCATTGTTCCGCGTCCTAGTCTCCAGGGAAGCAGAAAACAAGCTTGCTCCTCCTCCCTGTGGCTTCCTCTCACATATTTATACATGGCTATCATATCTCCTCTCAGCCTTCTCTTCTTCAGGCCAAACATGCCCAGCTCCTTAAGCCTCTCCTCATAGGGCTTGTTCTCCAGACCCTTGATCATTTTAGTCGCCCTCCTCTGGACACATTCCAGCTTGTCAATATCTCTCTTGAATTGTGGTGCCCAGAATTGGACACAATATTCCAGGTGTAGTCTAACTTTGCAGGACCATCCCATTTAACAATAGTGTAGGGAAACTAGTGATAACAAGTCTTATCCTTGCAGAAGGAGTAAAAGAAAGACCGTTTCCAAGGAGTAATGAGGCAACATGCTCTTCCATCTCTAGGCTATTGAAGAGCATGGGTTTCCTAATAAAATGCTAGTGTAGAGCCCCCTCTTGTGGCCATTTAAAGAAATCAAAGGTTCAGGGCTATTCTATTACAGGAATGCACCTCCTTCCAGGTGAAAAAGTGCCTGGGGAAACCTTTTTTCTATTGGAGACAGAAGGCCAACTTATCAATTCCTAGAATCAGATGTTCTTAAAAGTTTTCTTCTGAGTTTTCCCTGGATACAAATAGAACAGGTGTTTGTTGGCCATTTCATGTAGACAGGTTGAGGCATCGAGAAATACATTCTTTCATTGGGTGCCTATTACAGGGAAAACCAGCTGATCCCCAACCCATCTAAAACACAGACATGTGCCTTTCATCTCAAGAACAGACAAGCATCCCGAGCTCTGAGGATCACCTGAGAAGGAATCCCACTGGAGCATTGCAGCGCACCCAAATACCTGGGAGTCACTCTGGACCGTGCTCTGACCTACAAGAAGCACTGCCTGAACATCAAGCAAAAAGTGGGTGCTAGAAACAATATCATACGAAAGCTGACTGGCACAACCTGGGGATCACAACCAGATACAGTGAAGACATCTGCCCTTGCACTGTGCTACTCCGCTGCTGAGTATGCATGCCCAGTGTGGAACACATCTCACCACACTAAAACAGTGGATGTGGCTCTTAATGAGACATGCCGCATTATCACGGGTGTCTGCACCCTACACCACTGGAGAAATTACACTGCTTAGCCGGTATTGCACCACCTGACATCCGCCGGGAAGTAGCAGCCAATAGTGAAAGGACCAAGGCAGAGACATCTCCAGCTCATCCCCTGTTTGGGTATCAGCCAGCACGTCAACGACTTAAATCTAGAAATAGTTTTCTAAGATCTACAGAGACACTCGCTGGAACCCCTCAGCAAGTGAGAGTCCAAAAGTGGCAGGCTCAAACCCAGAACCTCAACCAATGGCTGATACCAAATGAGAGACTCCCCCTGGGCACACAGAAGACTGGGCGACTTGGAAGGCGCTGAACAGACTGCGCTCTGGCACCACGAGATGCAGAGCCAACCTCAAGAAATGGGCCACAAAGTGGAATCCACGACATGCGAGTGTGGAGAGGAGCAAACCACTGACCACCTGCTGCAATGCAACCTGAGCCCTGCCACATGCACAATGGAGGACCTTCTTGCAGCAACACCAGAGGCACTCCAAGTGGCCAGCTACTGGTCAAAGGACATTTAATCAACTACCAAACTCACACATTTTGTATTTTCTCTCTTTGTTTGCTTTGTTCTGTTAGAAATGCAATATAATTGACTGGCTGCCCTGACACGAAAAATAAAATTGGGTGTTATCTGCATAAATATGGCACCAAACTCCAAAACTCTAGATGATTTCTCCCAGTGGTTTCATGTTGATATTGAACAGCATGTGTAACAGAATAGATCCTGGAGGGACCTTGCAGACCACTGGCCAAGGGGACGAAGAGGCGTCACCCAGCACCATCTTCTGGGTTTGGTCCTCTAGGAAAGAACAGAGCCACTGTAGAACAGTGCCTCCCAATCCCATTCCAGCAACACGACCCAAGAAGATATCAATTGTATCGAACACCGCAGAGAGGTCCAGCAGAACCAACAGGGACACACTCCCCATCTAGCTCTTTGTAGATCATTTACCAAGGTGACCAGTGCCATTTCAGTTCTGTAACCAGGTCTGAAACCAGATTGAAATGGATCCAGGGCTTCTTCCTACAAACTCTGGAGCTGATAGGACACCACTCTCTCCAGACTCTTGGCCGAAATGGGGAGATCTGAAACTGGCCGATAGTTGAGTGGGATTCAGTGCTGGGGTTTTTTTTTTAGTAGAGGTTTTACTACAGCCTTCTTAAGGCTAGCTGGGATTTTGCTGGTGCAACATAGGTCAATCACCTATCTTCTACTCTGCACTCATGACTTTAAATTTAATACAGACTGTCCTGCCTGCCAAATGAATTGAATTGTGAGTTCAAATAACTGCCCATGGTCATCTGGTGTTTCTATTTTAGAAGCAATTTGGGGGGAAGAGGAGAAGGAAATACTAATACAAATCCTACTATTACTACTACTAATAATAATAATAATAATAATAATAATAACTGTGGTGTTGGAGGAAAGTTCTGAGAGAGCCTTGGACCGCGAGAAGATCCAACCAGTCCATACTTCAGGAAATAAAGCCCGACTGCTCATTGGAGGGAAGGATATTAGAGGCCAAGATGAAGTATTTTGGCCACATCATGAGAAGACAGGAAAGCTTAGAGAAGACAATGATGCTGGGGAAAATGGAATGAAAAAGGAAGAGGGGCCGACCAAGGGCAAGATGGATGGATGGTATCCTTGAAGTGACTGGCTTGAACTTGAAGGAGCTGGGGGTGGTGACGACTGACAGGGAACTCTGGCATGGGCTGGTCCATGAAGTCACGAAGAGTCGGAAACGACTGAACAAATGAACAACAAATAGGAGGTGTGTCTCCCCCCCCCCCCCCCGCACACACACATGGATGAACACCAAAGGTCTTTATCAGGACCATTGCTAACTATTGTGTCTATTAATATAAAAGGTTTGTCACTTGCTAAGGAAGAACTACTGGCCAAAATGTCTGAGGACATTTCGTGTGACATTCGTGTGAAGGCATGATCATCAAGTTTGCAGACGACACCAAATTGGGAGGGATAGCCAATACTCCAGAGGACAGGAGCAGAATTCAAAGCGATCTTGACAGATTAGAGAGATGGGCCAAAACTAACAAAATGAAGTTTAACAGTGACAAATGCAAGATACTCCACTTTGGCCGGAAAAACGAAATGCAGAGATACAAAATGGGGCACAATGCCTGGCTCGAGAGCAGTACGTGTGAAAAAGATCTTGGAGTCCTCGTGGACAACAAGTTAAACATGAGCCAACAATGTGATGTGGCGGCAAAAAAAAGCCAATGGGATTTTGGCCTGCATCAATAGGAGCATAGTGTCTAGATCTAGGGAAGTCATGCTACCCCTCTATTCCGCTTTGGTTAGACCACACCTGGAATATTGTGTCCAATTCTGGGCACCACAATTCAAGAGAGATATTGACAAGCTGGAATGTGTCCAGAGGAGGGCGACTAAAATGATCAAGGGTCTGGAGAACAAGCCCTATGAGGAGCGGCTTAAGGAGCTGGGCATGTTTAGCCTGAAGAAGAGAAGGCTAGGAGGAGATATGATAACCATGTATAAATATGTGAGAGGAAGCCACAGGGAGGAGGGAGCAAGCTTGTTTTCTGCTTCCCTGGAGACTAGGACGCGGAACAATGGCTTCAAACTACAAGAGAGAAGATTCCATCTGAACACGAGAAGAACTTCCTGACTGTGAGAGCCGTTCAGCAGTGGAACTCTCCACCCCGGAGTGTGGTGGAGGCTCCTTCTTTGGAAGCTTTTAAACAGAGGCTGGATGGCCATCTGTCAGGGGTGATTTGAATGCAATATTCCTGCTTCTTGGCAGGGGGTTGGACTGGATGGCCCATGAGGTCTCTTCCAACTCTTTGATTCTATGATTCTATGTATACAGGAAACACACAGAGACATCTGATGTGATAGACCAGTAGCGGGTTTATCCCATGATGTGCCAGTTGGGGAAACTCACCACAGACTCAAGAGTTTGCAGTTCAGCCTCAGTCCACGAACCTCTATTCTGAGCAGCTCTGCTTCAAGCAACTTGTGGTCTTCCAAAAGCATCTGGCTGGTGTTGACACAGGCTAATGGATGACACAGACCACTGGGATGATTTGGCAAGACAGGTTTTTGTTTTATTTAGTTAACCAGAAAGGCATATGACAGCAAAACAGAGAAACATAAAGCTGACATTGCAGCTTTTATTTCAGAGCCTAAAACAGACAACACGATGGCTCTTGTTTCTGACATACAGTACCATGCAAAGCACCCTGAAATGGAAACAACAGATTTAAGAAGTGCCTTGCTCTTGCTACATTAGAACAATCTATCCAGGAACTTCAGTTCTTGTTTGACTCAAATATAATAGCTTGGGAATCGCCACCATACAAGGAATCAGCAACCTGCAATGTTAAATGGGCCCAAACCAGTTCAGTCTTCAGTTGGTTCAACCAAAATTGTGCAAATGCTTCACAACTGAAATCTCTCCCTTCTTTTACAAGATTGAAAGTCAGGTATGAATTCGGATTAATTCAGGCATTACATGTAATTGCATGGGGACCATGATAGGGCTTCTTCCATGCAGTTGCTCTACTCTGAACTTAAGAATGGAAAACGGAATGTTGGTGGACCGAAAAAGAGATTGAAAGATGGCCTCAAAGCCAACCTTAAAAACTCTGGCATCGACTCTGAGAACTGGGAAGCCCTGGCCCTTGACCGCTCCAGCTGGAGGTCAGCTGTGACCAGCAGTGCTGCAGAATTCGAGGAGGCACGAGTGGAGGGTGAAAGAGAGAAACGTGCCAGGAGGAAGGCGCGTCAAGCCAACCCCGACCGGGACCGCCTTCCACCTGGAAACCAATGCCTTCACTGTGGGAGAAGATGCGGGTCAAGAATAGGGCTCCACAAACCCACAAATAGTCATCAAGGAAGACCATCTTACTTGTCCAACGAGGGATCGCCTAAGTAAAATAAGTGAAGTCTTCCATGCGACTTTGGAATATTTAAAAGTGTGGCTCATGCATATTGAGCTGGGCACAATGGTTCACCCAATGTCAATGTTGACTAGGACCCAGAGACACTGTTTTAAGGTGCAAAGAATGGTGATCCTTTCTTTCAAACATTACCCGTACAACATGGGAATGTCAATTATGCTGTGGGAAATTACCAGTTGTTTCTAAGTAAAACTTAAAAGGCCGTTCCCATTCCGAGGCCAACTGCACAAATAGCAGCTGCATTATAATTCGACACTAACTAGACATTCTTTATCATTACAAACATTTATGGTAAAATCATTAAAAGGCATAAATTATAGAACCAAAAAGATTCCAATAAGGCATCTGTGATTCCCAACTGGATGCAGCTCTTTCGCATAAATGTATCCTAATCTATAGTCCTAACTAGAAATAGCACACAGAATCAGTTGTTGAATGGTGTGCGCCAAGACTTACATAAATCCCACTGTTTCCGTGAGTCTACTTTAGTTAGGATTACAAATTGGATTCAGACCACTATCTTTCTCCCAGCAAGCAACCAGTTGGTTCAAGTATTATGTAAAACATCCTTTTTGGTAAATGTTTGGTATAAAAACTCAAGTGAAAAAAGCTTAAAATGTTGAGTGATCACTTTAAAAAAATTACATGAAAAAAAGTAAAAAATTGATTTTAAGACAACATTCGCTTTCAGTATTTGTGAAATCTGCGGGACCTTCCAATTCATTCATCAAGATCCAGACAGATGTATTTTAAGGCAACATGTCAAGTTGGCACCATGAGGATAAACTGTCACATGCTGAAGGCAGCGTAGATGTGCAGAGGCTGAATGGCAGTCAGTGGACTTTCTTATCGCGCACGCTGACAGAGCCGTCTTCCATGCCAAAGTAAACACGCTCCGCCATGTTGATAAAAAGGCCAGTTTCTACCACTCCTGGAACAGAGACACCAAAGTTAAGCCTCATTCCTATTCAAACCTTCTATACAAAGCAGAGCTGGCCTCTCTTATGAAGCTAATATAAAATCAACAGTTCAGATGTTAAGAGCTTTCAGGAGAAAAGAACTACCGTATATTCCGGGGTACCAGACGGCTTTTTAGGCATGTAAAACCTTATAAAATTTTGGGGGTCGTCTAGTACGCTGGGTATAAAATTAAAATAATAAAAAAATTACTCCGCCTCCTCCTCCTCTGCTGCCTTGGCTCATGGCGCCCTCCCGGGCAGGCTCCCCATCCTTCCTCTCTTCCTGGCTGCCTTCCTTGCTCAGGCCCAGGCCTCTCCCTTGTTGGCGCCCGGGCCCCTGGGCTGCTTCCTGCGCTGCTCAGGCCGCTCTCCTTCTTCCTGGCCAGGCCTCGCGAGAAGCACCTCTTCTCCCGCGAGCACGAGACAACGTTGTCTCGCAGGAGAAGAGGTGCTTCTCAGCGAAAAAGGGCCTCAGTGGGCCTCGAGAACGAGGAGATGCACGCATTTAGACAAATTGCGTCCACCCGCGCTTGTCAGGGCCCGGGATCCCCCATCCTGTACTTTCCTGGCCAGGGCCTCGCGAGAAGCACCTGCTCACCCGCGAGATAATTTTGTCTCGCGGGAGAACAGGTGCTTCTCGCGAGGCTTGGCAGGACTGGGAGGCAGAGAAGCCATGGCAGCGGAGTGGGGGCAGGAAAGAGGAGAGCGGCCTGAGCAGCGGAGTCGTCTTAAACGGCGAATATATCCCCAACTCTCTATTTTAAAGTTGGAGGGTCTTCTTATAGTGCCGGATTATACGGTACATAAAAAGGCATTATACGAGGTGTATTTTTTAAGTAAGGTCCGTTTTGTTTTGAGTTAAGAGTTCAGTCACAGAATGAATTAATTTCTTAAGTCAAGCTATCACTTTATCTCTAAAAAGTTATGTGACAAGAAATAAGAACAGAACAGCATGTTACTCAGACACTTGCTGGATTTTTTTTAAAAAAGAAACTATGTGGAAGGACTTAATTAAACATCCCCAAGAAGGAAGTTCTGCCAAATCTGGGAACAGTCACTGAGAAGGCTGTCTTGCATTACCTGTAAAAATGATGACTTTTTCACAAAATACAAGGGGTATTTTTTAAGTAAGGTCCGTTTTGTTGTAGACACTAGTAGTTTGTGCGCATACCGCAACGAGCGCGTGCGTCGTGTACCGGCATGCCTCGGGAACAACTGTGCTCAGTTTCCGCTCTGTAGCTAACCTGTACGGTTCTGTTCTGTGCTTTAAAAATGTTTAAGACTATCAACTCAGCCTCCGCATGTGAGGTTCGCTCAGTGATGCGGTTCTTGTCAGCAAGGAACCTGCCTGCTGCAGAAATTCATCAACAGATTTGTGAAGTGTACGGTGATACTGTTATGAGTGAAAGCAAAGTGCGTAAGTGGGTACAACAATTCAAAGATGGCCGTGACAACATCCATGAGGAGGACCGCTCCGGTCGCCCTTCTTTGATTACAGACGATTTGATTGCACACACAAATCTTTGGTTTTTGTGGTCCTCTGTTAGGAGTTTCGGGACCCAACAGGAGCATTTTCCTAAACTTTAGGTGTTCAGAAACAATGTTGTAAAGCACTGATCTTGACACGTCAGGAAATTCGTTTGAGAGACCTGTTATTGTGAAGCGCCTGTTCTCACGAATACTCACTTCAACTGAAGCCACCAAATCGTCTGTAATCAAAGAAGGGCGACCGGAGCAGTCCTCATCATGGACGTTGTCACGGCCATCTTTGAATTGTCGTACCCACTTACGCACTTTTCTTTCACTCATAACAGTATCACCGTACACTTCACAAATCTGTCGATGAATTTCTGCAGCAGGCAGGTTCCTTGCTGACAAAAACCGTATCACTGAGCGAACCTCACATGCGGAGGGTGAGTTGATAGTCTTAAACATTTTTAAAGCACAGAACAGAACCGTACAGGTTAGCTACAGAGTGGAAACTGAGCACAGTTGTTCCTGAGGCATGCCGGTACACGACGCACGCGCTCGTTGCAGTATGTGCGCGAACTACTAGTGTCTACAACAAAATGGACCTTACTTAAAAAATACCCCTCGTATTTTGTGAAAAAGTCATCATTTTTACAGGGAATGCAATACAGCCTTCTCAGTGACTATTCCCAGATTTGGCAGAACTTCCTTCTTGGGGATGTTTAATTAACTCCTTCTAAATAGCTTCTTTTTAAAAAAAAATCCAACAAGTTTCTGAGTAACATGCTGTTCTGTTTTTATTTCTTGTCACATAACTGATTAGAGATAAAATGATAGCTTGACTTAAGAAATTAATTCACTCTGTGACTGAACTCTTAACTCAAAACAATCACATCCCAAAGGAAATTTTCCATTGAAATATTATTAATTCATTCCAGCCTCCACCCCTTTTTTGTTACACGTTTTTAAATAAGAAAATGTAGATTAGAAATAACAAATAGTGTATAAATGCACATTTACACAGAACAAAAAAAAAAGAAAGATCAAGTTTAAAATGGTAGAACAAAGTTGTGGCAAGGAAGCAAAAAGCACAAAGTGAAGAGGCAGAAGCATCATTTTCTTCATACTGTACTCATTTGAGCTTCCTTGCCTCTCTTGCTCTCTCTCCCTCTCTCTCTTCATGATGCCAAACATACCAGGAATAAAAACCACACATAATCAACTAACCCAAAGTTCCTCTAAGCAAGTTGCCATTTCTTCATAGTCAGCTGTCAGTAATCATGTCCCATCAATTTCTCAAGTAATAATGAATAAATGAATATTTAAAAAGCAGGAATATTTTAAACATGGTATCCCTTCCCACCTTTGAATGCAAGTCCGCATGTAATTAAAAAGAATGGGAAAGGAGGACAGTTGGGACTTTTTAACTTGCCTGCTGCTCTTCAAAACTTCCTGCTTTGAAGAAAACAACAAAGTGAAACACTACTGCCACCTGCTGGATCTTTTCATATTAGCAAATGCAGTACAGGAAGTCCCCAGGTTACGAACAAGATAAGTGGGCTTGCTCGGGGAGATGGAGGTGGGGTACAAAAATAAAGTTGTTGTTGTTGTTGTTGTTAGTCAGAACAAGCACATTTTTAAGTGTTACTCCAGCCATTTTTTTTTAGTTTTGGATAGCATAGGTGTGAGGAAGCATTGATTTTTAACTGTAAGTTAAGTGTAGTTATGTATATTTATTTATTTATTTAACTTGTATACCGCTACTCCCAATTTGGCGGTTTACTCCCAATCGGAGCGGTTTACAGAAGCAGATTAAAACAATACAATTAGCTTTAAAATAACAATAAGCAGTGAGGATGGACATAGCCCCGAGTTGTTCACACATCAAAAGCTTGTCGGAAAAGAAAGGTTTTACAAGCTTTCCGAAAAGCAAGTAGGTCTCAGATGGTTCGAGTTTCAACCGGCAAGGCATTCCATAAATAAGGGGCCATGATCGAGAAGGCTCTCTGCCTAGTAGATGACAAATGATAAGTCTGGATGGTAGGGACTTCAAGCAAATTTTGGTCTTCAGACCGGAGTAATCTCTGGGGTTGGTAGGGGGATAAGCGGGCCCTCAGGTATGCCGGCCCCAGACCATATAAGGTCTTAAAGGTTAATACCAACACCTTGAAAGTGATCCGGTACTCAATCGGTAGCCAGTGCAGCTGTTGGAGAATTGGGGTGATACAACACTTCGGTTTCCAGATCATTGACAAAGGAAGGGCAATGTAGAGGACGTTACAGTAGTCAAGCCTCGAGATGACTGTCGCCTGGATCACCGTAGCCAGGTCATTCCTAGATAGGAAGGGAGCCAGTCGCCTAGCCTGACGTAGATGGAAAAACGCAGATCTGCTCACAGCAGAGACCTGGGCCTCCATTGTGAGCAGAGGGTCCAATAAGACACCAAGACTTTTTACAGAAGATGGCGGACGTAGTGTATCGCCATCCGGGGTAGGCAGCTGGATCTCCCTCCCACCCGGATGGCCCAGCCATGCAATATTCCTGCTTCTGGGCAGAATGGGGTTGGACTGGATGGCCCATGAGGTCTCTTCCAACTCTTTGATTCTATGATTCTATGATTCTTACAGAAGATGACGAATGTACTGTCTCGCCATCCAGGGTAGGTAGCTGGATCTCCCTCCCACCAGGACGGCCCAGCCAAAGGATCTCCGTCTTCGCTGGATTCTCCCTCAACCTGCTGGCACGCAACCATCCAGTAACGGCCTCAAGGCACTGATGGAAATTTGTGTCTCTACAGTTAAATATGATTGTGTGTGTGTGTATATGCTTAGATGGTTGAATATTATTATATGTATGTGTTCAGGAGGTAAAAGACAGTTATGGATGTACATAAAGGATTGACCATTTAAAAATGGCAGAATTAGGGGGGTGGGACCAAGCTCAACACTCTGAGTTAGGTTGTCATGGAGAAAGGGGTGGAGCCAGCTGCACTTACCAGAAGCAGACATTTTGAGGCTTCAGTCCTTTGGTCATCGAGCCAAAGGGAAGGTGGTTCAAATGTGTGGTGAACCAAACTAAGGGAAAGCTTTTAGCCTGAGTGATTTAAATAAGTCAAGGGGACTTATTTAGGTTTGTGGTTTAGCTGTGTGCTAATAGGAGAAGAAATCCCACTGGGAATCCTTACTTCAGCAGGAAGCTGAAGGGAAACAACAAGGGCATTAGCTGACCTTAGTTAATCTGTTAAATAAGGAAACATATTTAGAAGTGTAACAACTAAAGAACTAGTTGCTGGAGTAAAAGACATCCGAAAGTTATATTAAGATTTGTTGAAACTAACTCGTGAAGCTTTATACTTCAGGAGAAGAGATCTCTGAAACCATTAAGACACTTCCATACTCCAAATAAACTTGTTCTGGTTTAGTAACTCAAGCCTCAGTGTACTATTTCAAAGAGAAAACAAAATAACCTCGCTACACACCAAAATAAACACTACAGAGTGATAGCAGCGAATCTATATGAAAATAGGGGAATCTATTAATAAACTGAATAGGAAACCCTTATTAATTAGTGGCAGCATAGCCTAGTACCTCACAGATGGTGGCAGCATACTAGATTGAATAGAATATCAGACAATGAAGGGGAAGTTTTTACAATAGGGTTATCAGTCCTGCAGCATTTCTTTTCCTGACTTTGCCCTTGTTCAAAAAATGTCACCTCACTTTCTGTCCTTGTGACAACTGGATTTTGAAAATGTTGGATTGTTATAGAAACAAGGATTGGTGATAAAGCTTTAGTGGAGACACTTTTCCCATGATAACTCTTCCAGGAGTGAATTTCCCTTCGTAGGGGTAGATTTCATCTCACCTCCTGTCTCACACCTGTTTGTAACTAGGAATTTGTCACTATAATGGGGGAAGGTCTCCGCTGAAGCTTTATCACCCAGTCTTGTTTCCACAGCAACTCAAAATTTTCACAATCCATTGTACCTGATCCAACTTACATACAAATTCAACTTAAGAACAAACCCACAGAACCTATCTTGTTCGTCACCTGGGGGCTGCTTGTAATATGCCAATCTCTCCCAACAAGCATATGCTTCTTTTGGAAGGTAATTGATAAAGACAGACAAAAGATAAGATAGGATGCATACATTACCTGGTATCATCTTGATTGCCATGTTTACTTTATTCCAGTCATGAACTTTGTCAAATTTCCAGTCTAATAAGAAGTTCCCATTGTCCGTCACCACTGGGCCCTAAGAAGCAAAAGAAGTCGTATTTTGTACAATATTTTATGCTTTAAAACCATAACTCTAGGGCCACACACCTACTTTCAAACAAGAACTGACCAAAACCCAAGCCAATCACACTACTGTACTATAAACACCATTCTGAATTTAAGGGCGAAAATCCACTAGGATTCATATTGCCTAATCATCACATACAGTACACCACCCTGAGTCCCTTTGAGGAGAGAGGGCGGTCTAGAAATAAAGTATTATTATTATTATTATTATTATTATTATTATTATATCCTCAAGTGATGCCAAACTGATTAAACACAGCAATAACTGGAGTCATTTCATGAAAACTATTTAGCAAAACATATGGCATGTAGGCAGCCTGGTGTGGAAATATCCAGAGTAACCTTTGGTTTGTTTGTGTTAGGCAAACACAGAGAAAGTGATTGCAAAGTTTATTTGCAATCTGACCGTATCAACATTAAAGACAAAAACAGAAACGTACACAAATAGACAATAATCACTATCCTAAGACTCCCATAATAGTGAACTAACATACATTCAAACTTGATTAAGTTAAAAGGTAATTGAAAATATCATCATTAAAATGCCAAGGTAAAATTTCAAAGCACAAAAATTAAAAACGAAAGTTAAAACGAAGGTTAAAATAGACCAGCTATTACACAATCCCAAGCCACTTCAGATATCTGCGTCACCCCTACAGTTTACCCCAATCGCCTCCAGATACGCAGTTCTCAGCTGTGTTGCTTTATGAAGGAAAAGGGCCATTTGATGTGTTACCTTAGCATTCTGGCCAGCCATTAAGAATGTAGTTTTGATATGGGGATCCCAGTGAGTCTTCTGTATGATGAATGGTCCGAGGTATTGATTTCTCTGTTTGTTGTACAAAATACAGCTAAACAGTACATGTGTAATATCCTCTATCTCTGTTGCTCCACAGATACAGAAACGTTCATTATATGGAATTTGGTTAAACCTTCCGTGTTTAACCATTGTATCTGTCTGTTCAAATCTGGTTCTAGTGAATACCCTCCTTAGATGTTTAGGCATTTCTGTTTTAGGTATTTGGCTGTTTGAAAAGTATGTTTGAAGCGACTTAACCATTTCAGTGAGCCGGCTTTACTAAGGGTGGCAATGTCTTTCTGAGCCTCTATATCCTGTATTCGTTGTGCCACTGTTTTTGGATCTAGTTCTTTTAGATTTGGGTATAGAATTGGAAGTCCACAACTCCTGATGTATTTTGTCAGTTGCACTAGCCAAGTTTCTTCAATATGGTTATCATGTTTTCCTATGGGTGAGTGGATGGCGACTGGTAGATGGCAAATGTTCTGTATCTCAAAAGCTAGAGATGATAGGGAAAAACTGGCACCAAATGTCCAAAATGTTTGTTGGATAGTGTTACCATTCTGGTAAGAGATATGTAGATAATCATTGTTTACCTTGAGCTGTACATAAAGCTGCTATAGATTGTACTTCTACCAAAACATATACATGAGGTAGTCAGTAAGATACTGTAAGATTCTTTGTTGTCTGTACTACAGAAGAATCTCTCTGCAAACCACCTACTTCACAGCAGCTCCCTTTCAAGTTATTTTGTGAAGAAATAATGGCAACTGGTAGCTGCCATAAGATGCTCTGCCAGCAGCAGTTTCAATTTCTTACCGCCTTCGTCACAAGTCGCCGATACCGCCTTGAGTCGCCGATAAGGCTGAGAAAGGCGGTATAAAAGTATAGTAAATAAATAAATAATAAATAAGGGGGTTTTTTTCGTGTCAGGAGAGACTTGAGAAACTGCAAGTCACTTCTGGTGTGAGAGAATTGGCYGTCTACAAGGACGTTGCCCAGGGGACGCCYGGATGTTTTGATGTTTTATCATCCTTGTGGGAGGCTTCTCTCATGTCCGCGCTTGAGGAGCTGGAGCTGGTAGAKGGAGCTTGGTGGAGACAGAGCCTTCTCGGCGGTGGCCCCTCGGCTGTGGAACACCCTCCCTACAGATATTAGATCAGCCACCTCCCTTTTAACATTCCRGATAAAAGTCAAGACGTGGCTTTTTGAACAAGCATTTCCAAATGCAGAGTAACTGACATAGGAAAATGGAACGACGACAATGAGACCGGACAACATTTTTAACAAGGTGACACTATGAATTTATATTTTATTGATATGTTTSATTTTTATTATATGTTATGTTTTTAATTGTATTTATGATATTGTAAGCATTGAATTTTACCCTGTTAACCACATTGAGTCGCCTACGGGCTGAGAAAGGCGGCATACAAATACAGTAAATAAGTAAGTAAGTAAGTAAATAAATTTCCGCATTTAGCAAAGAGGCGAACATTTCACCACCTACAAATGGAGTGGAGTGGGTCATCTCACCTGCAGTCAGAAATAGCACTTCAAATTAAGCAAGTGAAGCATTTCAAGACTCAGTGCCAAAATTTAGTAAAAGGATGTGTTGAATTTGTATCTTATTCAGACAGTGAACACAGTTTCTATTTCTATTTGCATGACAGGCTCTTGAGGTGAATGATGTGAAAACTATGATGTGTGGATTGAATGAAATGATATGAAAGGTGTATGACTGCAATCTGGCCAAGATGGAAGACATCATTCTAGGAAGAATGGCATTTTGGAAAGCTGCAAAAGGCTATAAAACTGCTGAACTACTGACATGACCAGAGAGAATGATTAACTCTTGGTTGAAAACAACATGTTTACACAGTCAAATACAATTCTTTAAGTTAAGGAAGCCAAAAAATGCTCCTTACTTAAGAAGGAAAACAAACATATCTTAAGGAAAAAAAAAACACCTGTCAGGAACTGATGGAGTCTGTATGTTTTAGCTGGAAAAACAACCCTCTATGCCACTTCCTGAAATAAAGCCTATTTTGTAATTTTAACAATGCCAGTTTAATCTATTAAGAGCCAAACCTTTCCAACACGTATACCTTTCCACTTCTGTAAGTAAAGGATATGGAGAAGTTTCAGAAAGTGGGAATTTTCTCCATTGCCACACTGTGTACTTACAGCTTTATTGACAGCCATCCTCAGTTCCGCAACGCCTCCAAACCTCTTGGCCAAAGCCCTGGTGATCGGCACATAGGCCATCGGGATGACTTCAATGGGAATCCCTTTTTTCCATTGCTCTCCAAGGTTTCCAGACTTTTTTCTAAAGACATGTGGGTTTATATTACCATAAATTATTATTATTATTATTATTATTATTATTATTATTAAATGTGTTTTTTAAAAAATACATTAAAATTATAGCAAGAACTCCCATGATGGCCTAAATGTAACAGTTTGGTGTACAATAAGTGTGCAAGGCAGTAAAGACTTCAAAAAAGTTCATGCAGAAATCTGTGTTCAGTTTCTTTGCAGGAGAGCATCGGTTAATGGGGAGGCAGGAGCAATGTGTAGGAAGAATTGCCACAGTTCCTGTGCCACACATTCCTTACCCCCTTAAAAAAGGATAGATATGGAAAATGTATTGTAAGACGACTGAAGAAATGGGACAAAACAGAAATGGTGTTCCCTCTCATGAATTTCATTTCAGCATTGTAGGAAATTATGTTACAGTAAGTCGTAGCAGGATCAAGTGTGTGTTAAAGAAAAACCTTATGATGTTAATTATTATGTGCAGCTGGTAATGTAGGTCAGCCAGCATGTTCGGGCCACACCTGGGGGGTATAACTGTATAGATTTTAGAATACAGTTTGGAGAAGCAATACGCTACTCTGAGGAGGAGAAACAATACGCTGTAATGCTGCTATGCTCTAACAGCGATGCTCTTTGCTATGGTGGAATAGCTATTTACTCAAGGTTTATGTTTTGCTCTTTCATATATTGTCTATATGTGAGTTATATTAATTATATTGTTTTATTTGCTTATTGCTTTGTTGTTTACTGATGTGTTGTTGGGCTTGGCCTCATGTAAGCTGCCCCGAGTCCACTGGGGAGATGGTGGCGGGGTATAAATAAAGTTTTTATTATACTATTATTATTATTATTATTATTATTATTATTATTATTATCATTATTATTATTATGTGTTACTTACAAGGACTATGTAAGTTTGTAGCACTGTTTGATTTTATATGCAACACTGCAAGTTTATGCCTCTGCTGATAAGAGTAAAGTTTTTTCTGTTCCTTTTCCCTCTTGCCTATGTGTCTTTTGCATGGGACTTGGCTAAAATTCGCTTCTGTGCGACAAATTAAAACTTCAGATAAGTATTTAGCAATGCAGTGGAGAAATAAAAAAGGAGAAAATCTATAAAGGGAATACAAATCCAGTAAATGTAAGAGATAACGGTTAGATGCTTTCCAATATCTCACCCTCTCCAATGCTATAAATTTGAGGACTGATGGAATTCTTATATGGGGCAATGCCCTCAATTTGTTCTCCATGTAGCCAAACCCCCATGTGTGATCAAGATGAAACCACAGCATAAAAGGAAAACAAAATTAAGATATTAATACGATAACATCTAATAGAAAGAGGTTTAAGATCAATAATAAGCTAGCTCCATTGGCTGCCGATTTGCTACCGGGCCCAATTTAAGGTGCTGGTTTTGGCCTACAAAGCCCTAAACGGTTCCGGCCCAAAATACCTTTCGGACCGCATCTTGGCCTACGAGCCCACGAGGACCTTGAGATCATCTGGGGAGGCCCTTCTCTCGATCCCGCCTGCCTCACAGGCCCGTCTGGCGGGGACGAGGGAGAGGGCCTTCTCGGTGGTGGCCCCCCGGCTGTGGAACACTCTCCCTGCAGACATCAGACAGGCGCCCTCCCTCATGTCCTTCCGAAAAAGCCTTAAGACATGGCTGTTCGAGAAGGCATTCAATTAAGTGCTCTATTAATACGGTAAAGATGATTGGAATGGAATAAGGAATATGAGATTGGTTATGATTCCACTATGAGACGAAGCGGATTTTTAGTGTAGTTTTTGTAATTGTTATGTAGTTTATATGCTGTTGATATTGCCTTTTTGTAAATTGTTTTTTATATGTGTGTACACCGCCATGAGTCGCCCTAAAGGGCTGAGAATGGCGGTTAATAAATGCATCAAATAAATAAATAAATAAATAGAAAGATAAAGTAAATAATCTGAGGAATGAGAGAAAAGAAGAAGAGAAGAGGGGTGAAGAGAGAAGGAAGAGAGGAGAAGAAAGAGAGGAGAAGAAGATAGAAAAAGAAAGAAAACAAAAGAAGAAATAAGAAAGGAAGAACAGACGAAAGGGAAAGAAAAAAAGGAGAGAAATAAGACTGATGCTTGCAATCTGAAAAGAGAACAAACTAAAAGAGCTGTTTAAATATATTATTGAATGTCGTGTTAGAGATGGTGGAAGTTATTTAATCACCTACCTGTATTTGGTCGGGATTTTTTTTTTTGCACTTTTGTATTTTTTTAATTATTATTTTTCTTTTTTTCTCTATTATTATTATTATTATTATTATTATTATTACTATCAATTTTCCCCCTTTATTCGTTTGACTTTCTTTTTTTCCTCTCTTCCCTTTTCTTGCTTTCTATCTACTCTATATCCCTTAACATAAGATTCGTGATTTTATCATTGTATATTTAAAAACTCAATAAAAATCATTTTATTTTAAAAAAAGATGAAACCACAGCATAAACACCCTGTTCACTCATAAATTAACACATTTAAATATGTTGTTTTGCTCTATCTGAGATCACATGAAGCATTAATGGGAAACTTGATTTTTTCCAGTTATCCCTGACCATTTTCATCCATTCTGATGAATAAATTCCAATTTGTTTCCATTCTTCTTAATTTGTGTGTGCGCACCTTCAAACTGCCTGTCAATTAACAGTGATCACATGCATTTCATAAGCTTTTCAAGGAATACTCAAAAGGTAGCATTGCCGTTTCCTTCTTCTTATTTATACCCTGTAGCACCTGGTATTCATTGGTGATCTACCATCCAACTTCTAACCAGAGCAGACCCTACTTAGCTTCCAAGATCAGATGGCACCTTCTGCCTTTAGGATTTTTACCTGTAATCAGCAATAACTATGAAGCTTTTTGCAAAGCCAGCAACGATCTTCTCCTGGGTCAGGCAACCCCTGATGAGAAAAGAGAGTAGAACAAAGGTCCAGATCAGCAGGCACAATGTACAGCAGCCCCAGTCTATGCCATTTTGATCAACTCTGTCCCTTGAAGAGAATGCATGTTTAAACCAACTGTAATCATAAAGTGGGGGGAGGAGGGATGTCTGTCAGCAATTTGATAAAAATATAACAATCCGTGGCATCAGAAGGCACAAGAAAGTTACTGGTGAGCTGCTTAGTCAAAAGCGCACTGGATCATCCAGGTTTTTAGTTGACTACAAAAGGAGGACAAGGTGGGAGCCTGTCTGATCTCCCTAGGGAGGGAGTTCCAGAGCCGGGGGGCCACCACCGAGAAGGCTCTCTCCCTCGTCCCCATCAACCGTGCATGTGACGGCGGGGGGAGAGAGAGCAGTGCCTCCCCAGAAGATCTCAAGGTATGCACTGATTCATAGGGGAAGATGCGATCGCGAAAATAAGCAGGTCCCAAACCGTTTCGGGCTTTATAGGTGATGACCTGCACCTTGAATTGGGACCGGAAAGTTATTGGAAGCCAGTGGAGCTGTTCAAACAGGAGGGTTGACCACTCTCTGTAACCAGCTCCCGTGAGTAGTCTGGCTGCAGATCTCTGGACCAACTGTAGTTTCCGGGTTGTCTTCAAGAGCAACCCTACGTAGAGCACATTGCAGTAATCCAACCTAGTAAAAAAGATCTACACAGGCCATGAACAGGATTGTAGCCAATATAACTAGGAATTGGAATGTAGTATTTTTCACTAGACTTACATATTACTGCCCCAGTCTTATCAAACTCAATGGTCTATGACAATGGTCTATTTTATAAACATTCAGAAATTTGCTTCGAAAGAAAGGCACTGGACCCTGTGAAAAGAATAAACCATTGCTTTTGCAAGTAGTTTAATCTTTTAATCTTCTGTAGACGCCTCAGTAAAGTAAAGTGGTAATATTCCACATTAAGCACCAGTTGAGCAGTAATTCGGATTTCGCTTATTGTTTTAAACCAGAAAACAGGAAAATTTAGTTTTATAAATATTATATTTAAAATTACGGGAAGTGTTTAAAGGTCAGCCACCATTTTCCAATTGGTTTCAATGTTTCTCCAGGGAATGGATAAAAACAACATACACAACAAGAAAGCTGTTGTTGATTATGTGCACCTTCAATTTTTGCACAGGTTTTAATCACGCTAATTCTAGTGACTACTAGCTGTCCCCTGCCACATGTTGCTGTGGCCCAGTCTGGTGATCTGTAAAATAAAGTTATGAGAAAGTGTTGAGAAAGTCTAATATACATAATTTCTTTATGCTTGTGGATATGCAGTATTTCTTTGTCAGTGTTGATGTAGAGATTGTCTGGTTTTTCTACTCTGAAACATGCAACATATAATTGTCCTTCCTTAGGAGTCCCTTTCAAATCTATGATACTATATCTGTCATAAACACATATGTATGTGTGTGTGTATCATATATATCTATATCTATGGCTGGATGGCTCTTTGTCAAGAGGGCTTTGATTATGTTTTCTTGCCCTGGTGAAGAGAGATGGACTGGATGGCCTTAAGGCAGCATTTCTCAACCTGGGGGTTGGGACACCTGGGAGATCTTGAGGGGATGTCAGAAGGATCACCAGAAAATTCAGTATTTTCTACTGGTCATGGGGGTTCTGTGTGGGAAGTTTGGTCCAATCTCTCCTTGATGGGGTTTAGAATGCTCTTTGATTGTATTGAACTATAAATCCCAGTAACTACACCTCCCAAATGTCAAGGTCTATTTCTACCAAATTCCATCTGTGTTCATATTGGGCATATGGAGTATTCATGCCAAGTTTGGTCTAGATCCTTCATTGTTTGAATCCACAGTGATCTCTGGATGTATGGGAACTACAACTCCTAAACTCAAGGTCAATGTCCAACAAATCCTTCTAGTGTTTTCTGTTGGTCATGGGAGTTCTGTGTGCCAAGCTTGGTTCAATTCCATTGTTGGTGGAGTTCAGAATGCTCTTTGATTGTAGGTCAATATAAATCCCAGCAACTACAACTCCCAAATGACAAAATTAATTTTTTGTGTGATGGTCACTCCTTGGGTTAGTAGGTGTCTTGTGGTCAAATTTGGTGGCAATTAATAAATCCACTTCTGGTTTGGAAAAACTGGGGTTTTCTAATGTTAGAGTGAGCATGAATCCTTTTTAAAAGGTGAATTACTCCTTCTGTAGGTTTCCATGAGATAACAATGTGCATTTCCCCTCTTCAAAAACAGATAGCCAAGGGGAATGGGGGATGCCCAAGACCACAAAATGTCCTTTAGGAGGCTGCCCATGGCCAGTTTGCTTCAGAAGCCTGATTTGGAAGCAATGCATTTAGAACTATAGAGGTGGAGCAATGGTTCAATGGCTGAATAGATATGTTGTGGGTAGAAAGTCCCTGGTTTGATTCCAAACATCAGATGCTTTCCAATTTGAATGCCTGCCTTTTAACTAGTTAAGTATTTTAAATGTAATCCCTAAACAACTCCGGCCCAGTTTACCTGTCCGAACGGATTCTCCCCTATGAACCATCAAGGTTGTTAAGATCTTCTGGAGGGGCCCTGCTCTCGGTCCCACCACCCTCACAATTGCGTCTGGTGGGGACGAGGGACAGGGCCTTCTCGGTGGTGGCCCCTCGGCTCTGGAACTCTCTCCCACTGGAGATTAGAACTGCCCCTTCTCTCCTGACTTTTAGAAAAAACTGGTGAAAACTTGGCTCTGGAATTTAGCATTTGATGAGTGAGTCAGTAACTCCTGACCACACGGACGGATGGCGATGAATTGTGATTTCATTCTGACGACTTGGCCTTATGTAATTATATGACTGTATTTTAATGTGTTAGTGTATCATGGGATGGAGATGTTTTAAACTACTGTTTATGAATCTTTTGTTGTGAACCAGACTGAGTCCCTCTGCAGAGGTCGAGATATAAAAGTTCTAAATAAATAAATAAATAAATAAGTATACTGGTTTATTAACCCAAAGGGCAGGGGAAATTCTTTAGAAAAAAACTAAATTGTGCCTTCAAGTAGTTTCTAACTCACAGGGACCCTTACATAGGATTTCCTCAGCAAGATATGTTCAGAGGGAGTTGGTCTTTGCTTCCATTTGAGGTTGAGAGATTGTGACATTTCCCCTGGAATACTGAATAGGTTTCCATGTCTGAGTATGGATTCAAACCCTGCTCATCACAGAGTCATAGTCCAACACTCACAGCAATATAGCTGTGAGTGCTGTCTCCTAAACTATAGCTGTGAGTGCTGTCTCCTAAACTAAGTAGTGCCTTACAGCATGACAAATATTACATGACAAATATGTAACAAAATTTGAAAAAAAAAATCAGTTCCTGGTTTGAAAGTGTTATTCTTGTTTAATTGTGTGGTACTTACTTTGAAAGTAGTTGTTATACTCCAAAAACTTTGTTTTTGTGGCTGCCACACACTATGTTGTATTGGCCGAGACTCTAAGAAATATTCATTGAAAAACTATAGACAAATGTGTGGCAGGATGTCCCACAAAAATAAAGTTTTTGCAGTTTACTAAACTTTTTCCACGTTTTTATAATAGGACCAATTAGGAAATGACATTTATAATCCAGGAACAAAAATTTTGTTACAAAGATCATCTCCCACCTTTTTCTGTATTTATTAATAAAGGACACAACATTACAGAAGTGACATCAAAAGACAAAAAAATGCCTTTAACACATTCTGTCAACAAATACAAGTTTTTTCCCCTCTCTTTAACAACTAAAGGCCTAAGTAACAAGTAAGTAACAAGACTTGTACTATCAGAGCTGCGATGGAAACCCGATTCTTCCGTTGACGCTCAAACCTTGATGAAAACCATTACAGTATGAAATTAAGTTATTTCTTACCCTCCTCCCTTGATAAGGTTGAGGTCCATGTCGACTTCATCAGCCCCATCAATGGCAACATTCAACTACATAAAAGGAAGAAGAGATTTATAGTACCAATATGCGTAACTCTTAGAAGAAAGTACTTTCACAGTTACAATTATAAACCTACTGAATGGAATATTGCATCAATATAATGAAAAAAGCAACGAAAACTGCAAAAAAGTGTAAAACTGTGTTAAGGCAATTTAACAGATGTTTTAAAAGCCGAGGGAGGGCATACCTTACACATTTGTGGGCTTGGACTTTTACAGATTTCATTATTCATGGATTTGATGAAAATGTTATCTCTAAGAATCTTTTTTTAATCTCTAAGAATCTTTATGTCTAAGAACCTTTCACCAGATGTTGACCATATAAGTCATGCTGGAGGACCTATGGATTTCTAGGGAGAACACCTCTCTAGGGCCCCTTCTACACTGCCAACACTGCCATATAATCCAGTTTAAAGCAGACAATCTGGATTTTATTTGGCAATGTAGAAAGGGCCTTAGAATATCTAGATCCTCCAGTACAATTCTCTGGCCAACTTCCAGCAGAAGCTGAACACACAGTAGTGGTATTGGGCCTAGAGATTCCTAAAGAGATGTTCTCTCAGGTTTTAATACAGTGTTTCTATTCAGTTTTTTTCCACTTTTGCAGTGGTTCTGCATATCTAACCTCAGATAATGTGGAAGGCTGACAGTTTTATTGGAAATTATGTGTTAAATTTGATGTGTGGATTGAATGAAATTGTATGATTGGAGTATGACTGAGGCCTATACAAGACTGGAGACACCATTCTAGAATGAAGCCTGGAAAACTGCAAAAGGAAATGCATAATTCATTAACTGTTGAACTGTGATTAAAAAGCTCCTGATGAGAACTGTGGTTGAAAACAACATGTTTACACAGTCAAGGACAATGACTCCTTACCTGGCTAACTGAAAAAGAACAGGTTAAAAACTGTATGATAAAATGGGCTCAAAATTTAAGAAGACCAATTCAAATGAGGGAGTGGGAACAGATGTGGAACAAAAAATTAAAATATACATATGCAACGAACTTAAAAGAAAATTAGATAAAAATGTTCCACAGATGGTATACCACACCGAAACAACTTGCTAAAATGTATAAAACAGTTTCTGATAAGTGTTGGAAATGTTCAGAACAAGTGGGTTCCTTCTACCATATGCGGTGGACTTGTAAAGAAGCAGTAAAGTTTTGGAGGGTAATTTATGAAGAGACGCAAAAGATCTTAAAAAGAACTTTTACAAGAAAACCAGAGTATTACTTGTTAGGCTTTACAGATTTGGATTTACAATTGACGGAACAAGAGGACAAACTTTTTATATATACAACGACCGCCACTAGAATTGTTTTTGCTAAAGAGTGGAAGCAAGACTCAGTACTACCCATACAGGATTGGGTAGAAAAAACAATAAGAGAAATAAAGGACATGGACGAACTGACTTTTTTGTTGAAGAAAAATACATGTATGATAATAAAAAGAACGAATTGGGACAATCTTCATGACTATCTGGACAATTTGCGAATATAAAAAACCAGAGAGACAATTTTATTATCTTTAATAAAAAAAATATATTTTTGAATAATAAGAATATTTTCTCCAAGAAGATGGAATGGAAGTCATTTTTTTTCTTTTCTTTTTTGTGTGTGGATGTATTCTTGTAGTTTATTATTTTTTTTAGGGTTTTATTTAGGATATCTTTTTTACTTCTTACTTTATTGGCCTTTCCCTCTCTCTTTTTTTCTTTACTTTTCTATACCTTATTGTCCTCACTCTTTCATTGTATTCTATTTAATTTAATAAAATTTCTTTTTTTTAAAAAGGACAATGACTTTTTAAGTTAAGAAAATCAACAGAATGGTTATTTACGTTAAGAAGGAAAACCAACATCTGTCAGCAACTGATGGAATTAGCACATTTCAGCTGGTTAATATATCTATCAACCTATTTGGAACAACAGTAAAAAAAATGCTATATAAGAGACCTTTTTACTTTCCAAGTGTGGCAGACTGCAGGAACACAGCGTCTGTCTCTTTCTCCAAGGGACAGAGAAAGGTGGTGTATCAGTCAAACTGTTGGAAAGAGCAATCTTCTACAAGCCTCCTACACTAGTTATTTGTTATGTATATAATTCAGATTGCTTACTATATTGTGTGTATATTCTGATATGCAGTTTTCCCTTAACTTTATGTTGTTTGACACTGTGGGAAGGACTACAGACCATATTACAAGTGACATTAAAACGAATGCAGCATTGAACTTGGACTATCTAGCCCAAGGACAAGGGGTTAAGGACTTCTGGAGAGGGAAGAGTGGAACAGAAGTAAAGCCCTTCAGGTCAGCACAAGGCCAAGCAATTAATCCTGGGCTCTTAAGTAATTAACTAGGACTGCAGTTACTAGACTGTTTATCTTGATCACACCTTACCACTTCACAATTCTGTTCAAAAAGACAGACTATTTTATGGCTAGGTAGATTTATTTATGACAGCTTCTTCTTAGAAGGATGAAACAGCTCATCTTTTCCTGTGTTTAAAAAATCAAGATTGTTCTAAATCCGTCATCCCCAACTCAATATCCACCAGAAGACTTAAACTATTATTCCCTTTACATCAACCAGCAAGATGGCTTATAGTCCAACATATTGTGAGGTTGGAGACGGTTGATCTATGGATTTTCCTTAATATATTTCTTATGACTAATAAAGGCTATTTCTGCATAAATTGCATTATACTTATGTAACTGGGCTCAATGACTTAACAGGATTTCCTGGCAACTTCTCCTTGTGCTTCATAAAATAATTAAGCAATTATCTATCACCATAAACAACGCAATGGTTATTGCTCCAGGGGTTCAAACTGTTAAAGAAATGAAACTGTGAAATTTGAGATCAGTTTCTTGGTTGCAGATTTTGGTATCAAGGGAGGACTTGCTAATATGCCCTGATATCACCCTATGTAAGTTCAAACTCAATGCTTATACATTTATTTTATTTATTTATTTACGGCATTTATATGCTGCCCTTCTCACCCCGAAGGGGACTCAGAGCGGCTTACAAGTAAAAAGGTATATACAATATAGTATATTATTACCATAGCACAATATTAGTATTATATATAACATTATATTGTAATACGAGGGGTATTTTCTAAGTAAGGTCCGTTTTGTTGTAGACACTAGTAGTTCACACACATACCGCAACGAGCGCATGCGTCGTGTACCGGCATGCCTCGGGAACAACTGTGCTCAGTTTCCGCTCTGTAGCTAACCTGTACGGTTCTGTTCTGTGCTTTAAAAATGTTTAAGACTATCAACTCACCCGCCGCATGTGAGGTTCGCTCAGTGATACGGTTTTTGTCAGCAAGGAACCTGCCTGCTGCAGAAATTCATCGACAGATTTGTGAAGTGTACGGTGATACTGTTATGAGTGAAAGCAAAGTGTGTAAGTGGGTACGACAATTCAAAGATGGCCGTGACAACGTCCATGATGAGGACCGCTCCGGTCGCCCTTCTTTGATTACAGTGAACTCTTGGTTATCGGAGCAGGCGGCAAGTTTTTATGAAGAGGGTATTTTAAAATTGGTTCAGAGGTATGATAAGTGTTTGAACAAACTTGGCAACTATGTCGAAAAATAGAGTGAAGTATGTACTTTCTGAAAATAAATTTACTTTTGAAATAAACTTTCGTTGTGTACTTATGTTCAAATGGACCTTACTTAAAAAATACCCCTCGTATTATTATTATTATTACTATTATATTATATTATATAGAATTCACTATATTATTATTATTATATTATATTATATAGAATTCACAATTATTATATTATTTTATATTATATTATAATTATATTATATTATTATTATATTATATTACATTATTATATTATATTATATTATATTATATTATATTATATTATATTATATTCACAGTGCAGGAGACAAGATGGAACTGCCTTCCTGGTCCTCTCTTGACTCTGATCTCAGAGCAGCAGTTGGTGCTCACTAAACTAAGCACTATTAAGTTTTGAATACTAAAAGGATGAATGCTAACTTGATGTACAGTAGGACCCCTATATCTGCCCGACCAGTGCCTGTGGTTTTACCTACCTGCATTTGAGAAATATGTCATCTATAGAAATTTTCTAGATCCTTCATGGCAGGCCTGCACAACATATGGCACGCAGGCTGGCTGCAGCCCATGGGACCGGTTGGTGCAGCCCATCAAGCTCTGCCCCCCATCCCTACCACCTGCACCCCCATAACTATTCACAGCCCCCATTCACCAGACTCACATAATTCCAATTTCCACTTGTACTGGAAAAGCCCAAGTACAGATTTCTCTGTGCACGGGACAACTGGCAAAATGCCAAAGCGGGGAGAAACATTCTTACCTCTGGGTGTCTATCCAGGTCACTTAGAGTTAAGCCATTCTGCAGAATCAACTGACGTGCCTAGAAGGAAATTAAGAAGACAAATAATTATTTGGTCTTCAGGATAGGGAGGAAGGAAGAATTCCCCCTGTTAGCAGAATTAAGATTCACAAAAGGGCTGACATCATTCAGCAATACATCCAATTGATCTACTTTAGCTGCTACCAGAAATTGGATTTAAGCCTTCTTAGTATCAGTTGAAGCTTGCAATTTTTGAAAACCACATTATGCTGCATATATCACAACAGGAACAGATTTTTATGACGAAATAGAATAATGAAATCATGAAAATGTCTTTCTTCCTCCACAATAAGAAAATTCAGGCCCCGCCTATCTCCGTGATCGCATCTCCTTCTATGAACCGGCACGAGCTCTAAGATCTTCCGGGGAGGCCCTTCTCTCGGTCCCACTACCATCTCAAGTGCAGCTGGTGGGGACAAGAGAGAGGGCCTTTTCAGTGGTGGCTCCCCACCTCTGGAACGCCCTTCCAAGGGAAATAAGACAGGTCCCACCCCTCCCCTCCTTTCGTAAGAGCTTGAAGACCTGGTGGTTCTAACAAGCCTTTGAAAATGACCAGTTCTAACTCAGCCCTACACATTGTTGAATACAGCCTTATTCTTCCTACCAATTACCCAGATTTTTTCCTCTAATCGGCCCCGGAATGAACAGCCACAGACCCATACCTAATATTATTGTTGCCTGCCATAGCATTGCACTTAATTCCCGGGCACCCTAGAATTTTTGGGCTTGCACAAATCTTGGCCCGGCCTTTTAAATTTTTAATTGCCTTGAACAGGCAGGATTACTTTTAATATATGTGTGTTATGGCATCAATTTTTATGCTTATGTTTTGTTTTGTTAATCTTATGGTTATGTTGTTTTTTACTTTGTATGTTTTGTAATGCTACCTGGGAACCGCTCTGAGTCCCTTCAGGGAGATGGAGTGGTATATAAATAAAGTTTATTATTATTTAAACTCTCCACCTTTCCAGATTTTAACATCCATTATCTTCTGGTAGCATTATTGTCCCCTCAGCAGAAACTAAACTAGTAAGTTACAGAAGCATTTATTTTCATAGGTCAAGGTAAAGCTAAAGGTTTTCCCTGACATTAAGTCCAGTCGTGTCCGACTCTGGGGTGTGGTGCTCATCTCCATTTCTATGCTGAAGAGCCAGCATTGTCCATAGACACCTCCAAGGTCATGTGGCCAGCATGACTGCATGGAGCGCCATTACCTTCCTGCCAGAGCAGTACCTATTGATCTACTCACATTTGCATGTTTTCAAACTGCTAGGTTGGCAGAAGCTGGGGTTAACAGTGAGACAAAGTTTCTGAGGTATAACAACTACTTTCAAAGTAAGTACTGAACAAATACAGGAAATAACACTTTCAAACCAGGAAGCTAAAAATTTTCAAATTTTGTTGCATAGTGTTATTGACCATGGCAGCCCACTGGAGACAGAGAGACATTCTTGGGTTAGTTTTGTGCTGAAATATGCTTTCCAGGGCATAGTGTAGATATTACTAACATGTCTCTTATTGAGCATCCAAAGATTGCAAGTGCGTTTAAAAATCAGTTTCTTGCATGAGTCACGTTGTACAGTCGTCATGCAATGTTGCAGTCTTGCATGACATATTGAATTACTGGGCATGATCAGGCGACAGGGCAAGATCTGAATGAGCCTTTGAGCGACCATTCAACCACTCCTTGTCCACAAGCTGAAACAGGGCAGGAAATCTTCACTTAATATCTTCTGAACATGGCAGGGTAATAAATAATTAATAAACTTTATTTATACCCTGCTACCATCTCCCCAAGGGACTCGGTGCGGCTTAAATGAGGCCAAGCCCACAGTACAAATCAGGGCTTCTGTAATTTGGAACTTTAACCATTATCAGCAACTTTTTGAGACATGTAGAGTAAGGAACAATTAAGGGGAAAGAGATATTTATTTATTTATTTCAAATATTTGTACCCCGCCCTTCTCAACCCCCTGGGGCAGCAATTCGATGCCTCAATATATACATAATAAAAACAAACAGTCAATAATTATAAATAGTTAAAAACATTAAAACAATACAATTAAAATCTATTAAGAATTGCCCTGGTGGACATTATTAACCGAAAACTGTGGTTGGATTCTCCATCAAACTTATCCATAATCCATTTCCAAGCCAGGGGAGCATTTGCACAGCTAAAGCTTGTGCGCCAGCTGCACCCGTACCTTGGGAAGTCTGACTTGGCCACGGTAGTCCACGCTCTGGTTACATCCCGTTTAGACTACTGCAACGCTCTCTACGTGGGGTTGCCTTTGAAGACAGCTCGGAAGCTCCAACTAGTCCAACACTCGGCAGCCATGATTTTAACGGAGCGCAGGGAGCATACAACCCCCCTGTTGCGCCAACTCCACTGGCTACCGATCTGCTACCGGGCTAGAATTCAAAGTGCTGGCATTGGCCTTTAAAGCCCTAAACGGTTCCGGCCCAAGCTACCTATCTGCCGCATCTCTGCCTATGAACCCACCAGGACTTTGAGATCTTCCGGGGAGACCCTGCTCTCGATCCCGCCTGCTACTCAAGCTCGGCTGGCGGGGACGAGAGATAGGGCCTTCTCGGTGGTGGCTCCTCGGCTGTGGAACGCCCTTCCTACGGACATTAGACTAGCACCATCTCTAATGGTATTCTGCAAAAAGGTGAAGACCTGGCTGTTTGAGCAGGCGTTCGAATAATTAGTGCAATGATTGGTTAATGAACACTGGAATGGAACAATGGATGACGAATCTGGAACATGTTTTTGATGACGAGACGACAGTGAATGGGTATTGTAGTAACTGTTTATTAATTGTGTAATGTGTTAGGTTGTTAACTGTTTCTATACTGTAGCACTGAATTTTTGCTGTTCGTATTTGTTGTGAACCGCTGTGAGTCGCCTTCGGACCGAGAACAGCGGTATATAAGTAAGGTAAATAAATAAATAAATAAATTGTCAACACTGTTATTGTCATTGTCCGCTTAATGACAATGAAGGCCTGGTCCTTAAACTTTTTTCTAAAGGTGAGGAGGGATGAAGATGACCTAATTTCCCTGGGGAGTGAGTTCCACAGGAGGGGGCCATCACTGAGAAGGCCCTGTCCCTCGTCCTCGCCAAGCGTGTTTGAGACAGAGGTGGGGCTGAGAGCAGGGCCTCCCCAGAAGATCTTAAACTTCAAGATGGGACATAGAAGGAGATATGTTCGGACAGGTATGCTGTACAGGAGCCATATAGTTTTATAGGTCAAAACCAGCACTTTGAATTGTGCTCGGAATTGGGTCGGCAGCCAGTGGAGCTGACATAGCAGAGGGGCAGTATGCTTCCCTGTATGATGCTCCAGTAAGTAATCTAGCTGTCGCCCGTTGGAGAAATTGAAGTTTCTGAACAGTCTTCAGAGGCAACCCCGCATAGAGCACGTTGCAGTAATCTATTTGGGATGTGACAAGAGCAAGGACCACTGTAGCCAGATCAAGTTAGTTCTTTTCTACTTAACTGTCCTTACAATGTAGTGCCCACCTCCAATTGTGAGATCTATGTTTTTTTCTTTCAACAAACCAATAAGTAGGGGTGTTAAGGGAAAGATCTTACCTGAAAAGATGTAGGGATGCAAACTATGCTGAGCTTTTCTTGTTTCACTCTCTCAGCTGTAGAGGGAAAATAACTGAGTTTAGTATGTATTCAAACCAGGACAGGATGTGCAAGAGCAACCCATATTAAAGTATTATCACTCATTAATAGTCCATTCAAAATATTGCCTTTAGAGTTAATTCTGCTTGTAAGGAAGGAAAGCAACATTATCTACAAAAGAACTATCGGGGTCAAGTATCTCTTATTTGGAATGCTTGCAATTAGAAGTGTTCTGGATTTCAGATTTTTTGGAATATTTGCATAAACTCCATGAGATATCTTGGAAACAGGACAGTCTAAACATGACATTCATTCAGATTTCCACACACCTAAAGGTACTTTTATACATAATGGTGTTAACAATTGTCTTGTTTCCTGTTCTTTACTAATAATATAATATCATATATTGTAGATACATATAATATTTACAATATTATAATGTAATACAATATAATAGACATGCAATATTATAATTATATATTTTATATTACATGTAATATTACTAATAATATTACAATATAATGTATGTATATATATCTTGTAATATATAATATTGATATTGTACTATGCTAATAATATAATATATTGTATGGATATATATTTTGTAAGCCGCTCTGAGTCCCCTTCAGGGTGAGAAGGGCAGCATATAAATGTCATAAATTATAAATAAATAAACAATTTTGTGCATGAAACACTGTTTTCTTACATTGTACCAGCAAAGAACAAAAGATATCTATCTCAGCCACCCATGTGGACCATTCGGGAGCATTTCAGGTTTCTAGACAAAGGATATTCAATTTTTATTAGTTCTGCACGTCTTACCATTGCTCCACTCCAATCTCTGATGAAAACTTTTATTACTCATGCCCAATAAATGAAACAAAACTGTCATATTAGCATGGCAGCATTCATTCTGCAGAATTAGTAGTTAAGAGGCATAATTTGAACAACAGCAAGTCAAATCTTGTAAATGGAATATTTTATTTTTGTTCTATTATTATTTCGGGCTGTGTACAAAGACTTTTGTTTGGGCATTAAAAAAACCATTCTCAACAAAGGCACTGTAGCACAAAAAACAACTAACCACTATTCTGCACAATCCGGTGGAACCAGAAAACCTGACTGGGTCAAATTCAGGGCAGAAACATTTCATGAACAGCCTAAAATTGGGTTGTTGTAGGTTTTTTGAGCTATATGACCATATTCTAGAAGTATTCGCTCCTGACGTTTCACCTGCATCTATAGCAAGCATCCTCTGAGGATGCTTGCCATAGATGCATGCATGTACCGGAAGACCCCTGCCCAGGAGAGACTATGCCCGTGTGAGTCTGGCTACATCGAAACAACTGAACATGTGCTCCTCCAATGTGTGTTCTATAGAGACATTAGAGCTAACTTCATCACTCCATGGCTTTTAAAACATCCAGGGCGCACTGAAAGATATTACACCTCCCTGTTGCTCTCGGACTCTTGCTCTGCGACAACCTACAGTGTTGCCAAGTTCTGTGCAGCAGCAATTAACATTAGACGGCTGATGACAGACTCCACCAGGCAACTTCCTGCCGGGAATATAGTTAGAATGATTTGTAATAACTGAAATGCTGTAAATGCTCCCCTCTCATCCCTTTTATAGCTTCCCAGTCGTCTGATATTTGTTATTAGCCACCCCCTATTTTAGATACATACATGCACTTTAAACTATAAGTTTAGTCTGTTTTATCATTTTAAATTTGTCTCTTTTATAACATGTTTTTAATCTGCTTTTAATCTGCTTTTATACCTGTTCTACTTGGGAACTGCGATTCCCTTCCTTGGGCACCAATGCCCCATTCTGTACTGTCAAAGACCGTAATAAATCATTGATTGATTGATTGATTGATTGAATGCTTCTAGAACATGGTCATATAGCCCAAAAAACCTTCAACAACCCAGTGATTCCGGCCACGAAATCCCTCAACAATACATAACCTAAAATTATTTAAATAAAGAACTTTACAACAGGTTCATAACACCAGTGAGAAATTGCAATGATATTAGGCCCTGCTCTCGCTCCCGTCAACAGCACAGATGTGCCTGGCGGGGACGAGACAGGGCCTTCTCGGCTGTGGCTCCCCGCCTATGGAACACACTCCCAAATGAGGTAAGATCTGCTCCTGGCTTTTAGAAAAAAAATCATGGTTTTGGGACCAGGCCTTTGGGCAGTAGAAGTAAATGTATGCAGCATTTCAGAAAGACAATGACTGGAACGGCGATTTGACTGATGAGACTGTTTTATTGTTTTAATGATTGTTTTATTGCTTGTGGATGCACTGTTTTTAACTTGATTTATGTCTAATTGTAGTGTATAATTGTAATTGTTTGTACTGGCATTGAATTTTGCCATTACTTATGTGTAAACTGCTTTGAGTCCCCCTCGGGGTGAGAAAAGCGGTATACAAATACTGTAAAAAAATAATAAATATTATGCTGAAGTGTCTTCAAAAGATCTAAGTTACTTGTCCATAACTCACCCAATTTATCAACAGCTAGGTTTTAATCCTTTATAATAATTCATTTTTCTGTAATAGCAAATAATATGGAACTCGAATGTAAGGAAATTATGACGGAATGTAATTTATGACCTATGTGTTTTATTATATGTATTTATGCTAATATATGTATTTTATTGTATACATTTTATGGTGATGTGTTTTGACTGTACTGTGCGCCACGTCGGACTGTGAGGAGAGGCAGGTAACACATTATTATCATTATTATTATAATTAAATAATGCCCCGACCCAAATCTCCTATGTAGAAACATTAACAGCAGAGTTTGAGGCCCCTTCTACACTGCCATGTAAAATCCATATTATATGCTTTGAACTGGATTATATGGCAGTGTAGACTCATATAATCCAGTTCATCACAGATGTGGATTATCTGCTTTGATAATCTGGATTATATGGTAGTGTAGAAGGGGTCAGAGATGATGGGCGCATCTACACTGTAGAATGAATGCCGCTTGACACCTTTTAAACTTCCATGCCTCAATACTATGAAGTTTTAAGGATTTTAACTGTTATTTTTAAATTAATACCAATAATATTTTAATTTAATTTAATTTTTGCATATCTTTGGATTTTAAATTGTCTTGAAAAACTTTTAATGTAAGACACTTTGAATCTCCTTTGTGGAGAGAAAAAAGCGGGGTATAAATAATAATAATAATAATAATTATTATTATTATTATTATTATTATAAACAATTTCCAACAGAACAAATGGCAAAAAAATACATACCTAACCTATGTACAGCATGAACAATTGTAGAGCCGCTTCCAATTCCAAGGACATGATTAGTCTACAAACAAGTAAATATAAACAAGTTGCTTAGACAATCACAAGCAATGCAGAAATTCAACTACAGGGTTTGTTTTTTGCAGATCAGAAAGAAATAACCCAAATATCAGTATCATTGTGAATTTCATTTTGATTACAAAAAGAAGAACACATTCAGAAGGATGAAGCGAATGCAGCTGAATGGCCAAGCAATCCTCCTATGGTAGTAGGAATGAAATTCAATATTCTGAAGTAATAAAGGATCAGAATTAAATGCTCTCCAACAGAAGGGGCATCTACACTGTTGAACTATTGCAGTTCCACACCACTTTAACTGCTAAGGCTCACGGAATCTTGAGATTTTTAATTAGGCAGGGGCTGAAGACCTTGTAAACGACAAATCCCAGTGTTCTGTAAATATTGAGCAATGGCAGAGAGATTAGAGTGGCTGCTCCTTTTCAGGTTGCTTTATGCCACTGAATTGAGCTGTGTATTATTATTTATTTACTAGCAGTCCCCTGCAACGCTTGCTGTGGCCCAGTCTGGTGATCTGGAAAATAAAGTAACGAGAAAGTGTTGGCTTCTAATATATGTAATGTTTTTATGCTTGTGGGTAAACAGTATTTCTTGCTGTTTCTTTGCCAGTGTTGATGTGGAGATTGTCTAGTTTGCCTGTCTACTCTGGAATATGCAACATATCATTGTCCTTCTTTAGGGGTCCCTTTCAAATCTATGATACTGCATCTGTCATATACATATATGTGTGTGAGAGAGTGAATGGCTGGATGGCCCTTTGTCAGAAGGGCTTTATGTTTTCTTGCCCTGGTGAAGGGAGTTGGACTGGATGGCCTTTAGGCAGCATTTTTCAACCTGGGGTTTGGGACCCCTGGGGGAGGTTGCGAAGGGGTGTCAGAAGGGTCACCAAAGACCACCAGAAAACACAGTATTTTCTGTTGGTCATGAGGGTTCTGTGTGGGATGTTTGCCCCAATTCTGTCGTTGGTGGGGTTCAGAATGCTCCTTGATTGTAGGTGAACTATAAATCCCAGTAACTACAACTCCCAAATGTCAGTGTCTATTTCCCTCAAACTCCATCCAAGTTCACATTTGGGCATATTGAGTATTCGTGCCAAGTTTGGTCCACATCCATCATTGTTTGAGTCCACAGTGCTCTCTGGATGTAGGTGAACTACAACTCCAAAACTCAAGGTCAATGCCCACAAACCCTTCTAGTGTTTTCTGTTGGTCATGGGAGTTCTGTGTGCCAAGTTTGGTTCAATTCCATCATTGGTGTTCAGAATGCTCTTTTATTGTAGGTGAACTATAAATCCCAGCAATTACAACTCCCAACTGACAAAATCTTTTTTTTAATGAAGGACATACATTGGATTGTTAGGTGTCTTGTGTCCAAATTTGGTGTCAATTCATCCAGTGGTTTTTGAGTTCTGTTAATCCCACAATGAACATTACATTTTATTTATATAATTATTTCCAGTATTTCTATCCTCCCGGGGGGGGGGGGGGGGACTCAGGCAGCTTACATTTGGCAACAACTCGATGCCATACATACAACAAACAACAATATAACCACAATTTAAAACAATGGATAAAACATTAATTTAAAACAGCTAAAAACATTTTGTCAAAACCATAAAGCCATTCCAGTTCAATTCCATAACCAAAATGCTGCTACGTCTGTTGGCCAAAGACCTGGTCCCAGAACCATAATTTCAGTTCTTTTCCTGAAAGACAAGAGGGAAGAGGCCGACCTGATCTCGCTGGGGGGAGAGTTCCACAGGTGGGGGGCCACCGCCGAGAAGACCCTGTCTCTCATCCCCCCCAAACGCGTTGCGTACTGGGAATTTTAGTAAAATTGTATACTATATGCTCTTTGGAAATCATACCTTCTCCTTACATAGATTGTTTTGTGTTTGTTCAGATACCGAACAAACACAAAACATTGTGGGATATTGTGTAAGAGAAATGAAACAACATTCATTCCACAGAGAAAGTTAAAATACAGCGTTCCCTCGCTATTTCTAATAATATAATAAGTATAATCGATTTTGTCATTTGGGAGTTGTTGCTGCTGGGATTTATAGTTCACTTACAATCAAAGAGCATTCTGAACTCCACCAATGATGGAATTGAACTAAATTTGGCACAGAGAACTTTCATGACCAACCGAAAATACTGGAAGGGTTTGGTGTGCATTGACCTTGAGTTTTAGAGTTGTAACTCACCTACATTCAAAGAGCATTGTGGACTCAAACAATGATGGATCTGGACCAAACTTGGCGCAAATATTCCCTATGTTCAAATATGAACACAGGTGGAGTTTGGGGGAAATAGACCTTGACATTTGGGAGTTGTCGTTGCTGGGATTTATAGTTCACCTACAATCACAGAGCATTCTGAACCCCACCAACGATGGAATTGGGCCAAACCTCCCACACAGAACCCCCATGTGGGCCACAGCAACGCGTGGCAGGGGACGGCTAGTTACTAATAATATTATGATATAGCGGTATGGTGCAATGTAACAATGTTTAATGCTGATATTTTACTATGCTAATAATATACAGTAATATATTATATGTAATATTTACCTTGTAAGCCACTCTGAGTCCCCTTCGGGGTGAGGAGGGCAGCATATACATATTTTGCGGATCACTTATTGTGGACTCGCTGTTTCGCAGATTTCAAAAAATATTAATTTAAAATATATATCATGGTATTTTCGCTGTTTTGTGGGGTTTTGCCGTCGCAACTCTCCCTCCACAGTCCTCCCTCCAGCCTTGAGGGGCCTTTTCTTCACTTTATTTTAAGTTTATAAAGACTTTTTTAAAAATACATTTTTATTGATCAGTTTCTAACATAACTACATAGAAAGAGGGGGAATATTCAAGAAGAAGATAGGAAAGTAGGAAATGCAATCAAGAGAGAAAAGAAAAAAAGACATAAAAACAAAAATGCTAAAAAAGAATTAAAAAATGCAAAAAAACTAAAAGAAAATAAAATGACTTCCATTCCAATCTCAGGATCTTCTTATCTTATGTTTTGTTATTATTTGCCTCTTCTTTTTTCCTTCTTTTTTCATAGTCATAAAAAAGAACCCAATCAGTCTTTTTTTAGGAGTTCCCAGTATTTTTCTTTAATAAAAAAATAAAATAAAAATTAATTCATCCATGTCTCTTTTTTTCTTTCCTCTTTTTTTCTTTTATAAAGACTTAAAATAGTGTTTAGCTACTAAAATAACGTATAAATATTAAAATAAATAGAGCATCCATTCATCCAGTTTTTTACTTATTGTGAGAGGTCCTGGAACCTAACCCCAGCATGTCACAAAACTACACATCCCAGAACCCTTATAGCATTGAACCAGCTATAATCATGCAGTGTGGCGACTGCCACGCTTCCAACTCAAACCTAATGCAAACTCAAACCTAATGGCAAACTACAACTGAACATATCATATCCCTTGTAGTTTTGCAAGGGAGGGCATCTCTATAGAATGGCTGCACACGTCCCCCACTTTAAATGCTATGCAATCGTGGGAATTGTAGTTTGATAAGGACTTTAGCCTTCTTTACCAGACTGCGGGTGCCTCGCCATACTACAGCCCCATGGAAGTGAAAGCGGCATCAAACCGCGTTAGTTCTACAGTGCAGACGCACCTTGCCCCCCCCCCCCAGCCACCTGCACGTGGTTGTCCACCGCAGCCACAGCGGCCAGCCTCTTGGCCTCCTCGGTCATGGCGGCGGAGATCGGCCGTCTTTTGGGCTGGGGCTCGCAATCGGGGGCTTGCCAGGAGAGCTCCGCCCGGAGCCTCCCTCTCCCGAGCAGCGCCCGCGAAAAGAGGGCGGCGGGGACCTTGCCCTGCGGAGGCATGCCGCTGGCCCCGCCCGCCCCCTTCGGACGGGCGGCTCATGATTAAGCCTGCCTCTCCCGCCGCCACCGCCTGCCTCCCTGCGGCACCTGGGACTTGTAGTGCACCTGCCAAGCTCGGCGCGCCTTACTGACCTAGCGCGGGGCCATCCCAGAACTACCACACCCACAATGCACCGCGGCGTTTCACTTAAAGGGCCCGCAGGATCTCTCTCTCTCTTGCCCTTGCAATAGGAGAACTTCTGCTCATTCTAGTTGTTGAAGCCCCTTCCGCACATCTGAATAAAATCCCAGTTCCAAGCGGATATTGTGGGATTTT